TGGTCGGTCGTGGGGAATACATATTTTCCCCTGAAAATACACATTTTCATATTTCCCAATACTCATTTCGGTTTTCTATGGTTGGCATCTCTGTTGTCAGTTTATGAATTTATTTCAGCCAGACACTGCCTCATTACGTGTGCATTGGGCTTCGGCTTGACTTACACATGAGCGAGCCTACAAACTTCAATAGACTAGGCCTAGAGTCTAGATCTAGATATCTAGACTAGGATCTAGATCTAGTCAGGCTACAGAATTATTTTCTGTTAATTGTTACACATGTAGGTTCTAGATCTCTAGGCCCAATTGAATAGCCTATTGAATAAATTATCATGGCCATCACATTGTGAAAAAAAGATGGGTCCGGAAGGAAAACCACAAAGTAGATAGAAAAATATGAGCAAGTTGGGATTACCGGTTTTGGCCCCTATGATAACTATACTATGGAGTGTGGCGGGTTTTGGCTCCTCCGGCGATAACTTCAGGCTGGCAGACCTGGTTCTAAATGACGACGTGCCTGCTGTTTGCTGCTGGGCAAGCAAGGGATGTTAAAAACAAGTGAAATATTACTGCTCATTTTGTACTGAAAATTAGAAAGGCATCTAGATCTAGATCTAGCTCTCTTTCGGACGAAAACATCGGTACTGAGTATTTAAAACAATATCAATATCCGGTAGCCCTACTCTTGGGGCCAAAAGCAGAAGTTGTCGCAAATTCAGATGAAACAGATTTGGATCAAGATAAGACAACAGAAATTGGCAATCTCAAGTTTTGGCCCCAAGAGTCAAGAGTAATGAAATGTCAATAGATCTAGTCTCATAGATCTAGTGTCTAATAATAGTAACTTTATGTGTTACATATATGTTAAGGGTAGTAGGGGTAGGATTCTTGTGTAGTAATAGCAATAAGAGTAGGCTAAGCGTTGAGGCCAAAACCAGATCCCCAGAAATTAGCCTAATTTAAAAAAAAAAATTTTTGCATCAGAGGTGTGTATTGCCTTTCTGATCTCAATGCTACTGGAAAAGAGAAGCTTTCATTTAGACAAGAGTATCATATACTGTGATATAGGTTAAGTTTTGCTGAAATCATGAGTGATGCACAGGTGATACATAAGAGACCTTTGTCATTTGACTATGGGGGAGAAAATGTATGAAAAGCGAGTCAACAGATGGATTAATATAGGATAGGCAGACTGCACCTATTATAAAGAGACATGGATCTCTCCAACAGCTGTACCGTCAGGTTAACTGTGTTCCGATAAATAAATATGGAAGGGCCTTCTAGAGGGAAGAAGTAAGAGGAGATGCTGATGCCCCATGGTGATAGATTGGGAGATCCACTGTATTTCAGGTCGAAATTTTTTTTATTCAGAGCTTTTGTTTGCACCTGTTTTTAGTTTTACATCATTTATGACTGACAAATTGCCACAGATTGGTTGTTAAAAAGTAAGTACATTTTTTTGGGTCAAACTTTTCTTATGCTTGATTTTTTTTTTCTACCTTTCATTCAGGTCGTGGTGGCAGTAAAATCAGAGATCTGGAACAGGACAGTAATGCCAGAATTAAGGTAATTGCCGGAAACTGTTTAAATTATGTTTTAATCTGATTTTTCGGTTCCGGACTTGGTAGTAAGTTACATATCTCACGTTTTTTGCTTTCTGCACATGTTCAAGTTAAAGCATAACACACATAAACCATCTACTGTCTTCTTCTTCATTCTTTTTTTGTATTTCCTTCATTGTGTCAGCTAGAATTTCTGGTAACCCGCCTCCCCGCTAAGGCCACAAAATTATGTCTGGTCTCCACTGTAAAATAGTTTGTTCAGGCATTCCCCGGATAGGTAGTTGAACCCCTGAAATAGCCACCTATGTAATATAATCACTTTTACGTTCACTTCCCATTTCCCCATCTGCGTTTTAAAAAATATAGTGGCATTGTGTAAGACGTCCAACTGTCAAAGACAACTGCTTTTTTAGACAATTTTGACTGTACTTATATTCTGAGGAAAGATGCATACTTAAGTTTTCTTTACTTGCGTTCTTGCAAGGTAGCCTTATGTGCTCGACTTGTTGCAATGCTTTTTATCAATTTTTTGTGCCCTTTGTTTTTGAGATGGTGGATTTATTTGCTTTTTGTTTGCGGTACATAGGTCGGTTTGAAAATCTTCATTTGTAATTTTTATCAGATTTCTCGTGATGAGGATGAAAACGGCATGAAGTCAGTGGAAATCAGTGGCACAGATGAAGAAATTGATGCAGCCAAGAGAATGATAGAGCAGTGTCTATCTCAAGGTTAGTATGTTCTTGTCTTTGCTGGTGCTCTTGGTCTTAAAGCAGGTGCTATTGGTAGGTCAAACCTTTGTTTCACCTTCTTTGGTAAGTCTGACCTTCTTTTACAATTGAAGGGAAAGCGCCTTGTTTATGGTGAAAATCTGTAATGCTGTCAGCATTTTTATCATGTTATGGAATATTTTTTAGAATGTGGGCGCCAGAGCTAAGGTTACTTACTACTGGCAGCAAAAATTAAAGTGTTTCGCATTACTAATGTGCTTATTAGGCTGTTTTGAGTATGTATGGACATGACAATTTTGAGAACATGTCACATGGTTGCAGTTTTTTATATCAGGTTTTACAAGTTTCTACCATTTGTTTAGCTCTGCGTCTGAGTGAGTAGTGAGGATTGTTGCATAGGAATGAAAGTCCACATCATTTGGTTCTGTCGCTTTCATCACTGTTTTGCTGGAGGTTTCTGCAGTTGAATAGTCATACTACACGAAGTCGACTGTTGTGGCCTCAGGTTTTACCGACAGAATACTGAATATTTTATGATGGAACAGATAATAAATTGCTCACGGAGTTATTATAGTAATTGAAGTACAAAAGATGTGCAGAGTATTCCGGAACTGGACGCTGTTTTACTATTGTTTTTTCTCAATTGTTTAGATTTGGATATTTCGATCGGAAATGGTCCAAAGATTCGTTCTCAATTTGGAGAAAATCTATTTTTGCAGTAAGAATTTTCATAAATGGACAGTGAGTTCGTGTTATATGAGTTGATAGTCCTCCGAAGGATCATTGCATTTGAGAAAGTATAATGTATTTATAATTAAACTTTAATACATTATAATTCTGGTGTTTAGAAATCATTTTGGAATTACAGAGAACTGTTCTGAATAATGGCTAAAAAATCTTGTCTGTCATTTAGAAAAAGGGTAAAGTGAAATGATTGTCTGCAAGTTCAGTTGTTGATTTCTTCTGATTTGGTAGTCAGGTTTTGCTAGATTTTGGAAAAGAAAACTGGAGCAGTTATTCTACTACCTGTTGTAGTGCAAAATTTTTTGACGAGTAACATTAAGTTAATGATTTTTATAAAACTACTGGTGCTCATAGTCTCAATAGCAATGTATTCTTCACTGTTTGTAGAAGCAGGACCTACTTTCGAAGTCTTTATTTTCCCAATTTGATTTTCCTTTATTGTTGCCACAGCTGTATTGCATATAGGACAGAACTTTAAAATATAAAGAGATTCTGAAAAGTAAACACAAGGTTTTTTTTCTCAGAGTTTGTAAATCATGTAGCAAGTCATGCTGTGCACTTTGGATCTTGTTGCTGTTTGATTCAGTTCTTTTGCTTTTTGCTATGGTCGAGTATTTCCTTGCATTAAGTTAATCCAACTTGTATGGCATAAATTTTTTGTGTTGACTAAAGGAGACAGAACAGTGGGCTTTGATTTTTTATATATTTACTATTTTGAAGTACGAATAATTAATTACCTTGTGTGAGCTTTTGGTTCGTCAGAAAAACGTACTTTTAAATCTAACAAGTGTGAAATGGTTTCTTGTGTTTGAATCAAAGCCCATGTCAGATACACAGAGTTCTCAAATTTGTTGTGAATTTTTGTAATTATTATAAGCCGCTGGTTCATGATGGCATGGAAAGTCATAAATACCTGTCTTGATTTTAAAATAAAGACTTTTACATGGCCCTTTTTTGTGAGTCGTGAATCTTTTTGTAGGTGAGGGGAAAGTAGGGTTGTGGTGAAATGAACATTTTGAGATTGAATGCAATATTGAGGATATCGGAATCTTGCATTTTGAGCTGAAGGGAAGGTGCAGTCAGTTTCTAGGAGATCAAATGCACAGTGAAAAAAAAATCTGTGTGCATTGAGTGCACATAGCAAATTGATTAATCACTTTGATGCAAAATGTCATCAGATAGGTCAACTAAAATTTTGTTCGAATGAAAGGATCAGTTCAAAGATTTATCCTGAAAAAATCTTTTCGTTATTGAAGTACAATTGTGTGTAGAAAGGGCAATGCAAATGTTCGTGTTGACTAAATTATCCTTTTGCAGGATCTGACTTTGGTGGAGGTCGTCGTGGGGGTTTTGGTGGCCGTGGACGTGGTGGTGGAGGAGGAGGATATGGACGAAGGGATGACGGATGGGGTCGCAGAGACGGAGGTGATGGATGGGGGCGTCGTGATGATTATGGAGGTTTGCTCTGAGTTTTTGGTCCTTGCAATGGGTACTGGGGGTGTTGTATTTTGTTTCAAATTTTTTGTCCTCCGTGGTCCTTCAAATGAGGGGGGGAGGGGTTGATTTTGCGAAATTCCACTCAGTAATTCGATCAAGGATATTAAAAAAGGTTAAAACCATGTTGCTGCTTTTCTGTATTTTTTTCACCTGCTTCGCAAAGCATTTTTACTGAGGGGATTTGCTAGTTGTTTTTTTTGGGGGGGGGGGTGTTGTATCGGCAACTCACTTTATTGGCTTTCAGTGGTTTATGTTCGTGGGTGTTGTGAATGAAACGAGCAGTTGAAATTGTTCGAGGCGGCCACTATTGTCAATGAGTAAAGTAATTTTTTTAAACAGGTGGCCTTTAGAGTAGGTTCGACTGTACTCTGATTTATCTGCCATTATAAGTAAATTAGCTTGTATGGGAAGGTGAGGCAAATAATGAACTTGGAGAACATTGCTAGATTGACAGAATGTGGTTTTTTTTTTTTTAATGGACACCATCTGAAGCTCTCATCAGTTGTGATTAGATGCAGCAAATTTTATCAGGTGTTATCAGGGTGGGTGATATGGTTTGAGTCGCCATTTGAACGTATTCAGCTGTTCCATATGGGACTCTTGAGTCGGAAGCCTTGCCTCAATTACTCCCTTACTCTTTGTTGAGAGGGGCATTACGGCAAAAACTAGAATATTTGTGATAGTTGTTACATTTTTTTGGTGCATCAACTTAAAGTGGAAGTTTAAATTTTCAATATTAGCTTGTTTGATATCCAGCACTCGGTATGTTTGTGAGAAGAGGTATTTCAAATGGCACACAGGATTGTTTTTAAAACTTAAAAAAAAATTTTAATTAAATTTTTATTATGAGCTTTATGTGATTCGCCATGATTTAGAATTTATGCTCAAAAGCTGAGACTACTGCAGTTTGCACTTTTTTCCTTATTTCTGATACACGTCTTGTGCGGCTCAACTAGATTAAAAAAACCCCAGCTAGAACAGTGATGAATTTGTACCTCATACAGAACCATTGATGTGGACATGATTTTTATAGTGAAATTCTGCCAGTTCAGACACTGAAAGCTGAAAGTGGGCTGAAAACTTTGAGAATTATTCGCATTAATGTTGACAAGAAGCAAATATAGTTGCTCTTGGGGAGATGCAATTTCATCATTTTGTTTTGCTAGTGTTATTACCATTTAGCATTGTGCATTAGTTAGGTGGAAATCAACATGAGCTGAACTGTAGCAGCTGAGTGAAATGTGCTGTCGTCGAGAAGAGAATTGCTTCAGGGTTGTGGCACGAGCTAATGCTGTCATAACTTGCAAATTGTTTTGGTTTTAGCGGACTCCACTGAAACTTGCAAGTTTTGTTGAATGTTATTTCATGAGACTGATAATCTGTACAAGATATTTATTATTCAAAGATGGGCATTCTTGTGTTTTCCTGTAAGTTAAAAATTTGCTAGACATTAATTATTTAAAAAAAAATTTTTTTTTGTGGTTTGGATTTTGATTTGAAATGTCAGTATTTCAGAAAGTCGAATGCCCATCTCTGAATATATTCAGTTGACAATGTTCCGAATCAGTATATTTTGTGGGCTTAAATAGAAAGTAATTTCTCCCCAGATCGTGACAGTGGCCGGAGATTTGGAGGCGGTGGCGACTCAGAAACCATCTTTGTGGAGTCATCAGAAGTTGGACGCATCATTGGTAAGTTCAGCTTAAAGATTGCACCATGCTAATGCTGTATCTGCTCTTTTAAGTTTTCCATTATAAAAATTAAAAAGCTTTTTGGCTTTCTGATTGCCAGTCATTTTCCCCACTACTATTCCCCATGTACAAGCCGTTGCAATATTGAAACAACCTGTGGGCTGTTCTTATTGACATAGGGCAGAACATTTTATGAGGCTTCATAAATTAGAAATACTAAAGTCGAGAGAAAAACCTGCAAGCTGTGCATATCAAATGGAAATAATTCTTTTAGATGCTTCTCTTTGACCTTCTGTTGCCTTGGTCAGGCCACCGCCACAGGAGGGATAAACAGTAGATTTAAGCTCAATCTGTGGGCCAAAAAGTCGGATTCAGACGACGATGACTTTCTTTTTATAGTGAACAAACAGATATCTGCAGGAAATGTTGAATTAGATAAATGGACAGTAATGATTGGGAAATTAATGGGTGATATTTTTCAATCAAGACGCAAAGAGGAGAGTGCGCAACAGACAGTTGACGATAAATCAACATCGATTGGAATAGGGTGATATTTTAATCATGAAAATAAATTAAATGTGAAGGTTGTTCAGGTGGGTTGTTTTTATTGGGTTTTTAGGGGCCTCAAGTTTCATCTTTTTCTCCCAACCAGCTCATTAGTCATTTCCTATTTTTCGTAAGTGAGCCTTTAGAAAATGTCTTTATTCAACTTATGGTGGATCCTTGGTTGCAGCAATAGTTACAGCGTCCTAATAAAGCCATTTGTAAACTTTTACCTCATAAAATTTTTTCATCTACTCGGGCATAAATGTTAATAGGTTATGACAAACAACACAAGCAAAATTTATTCTAGAATAGTTCTGCTTCACAGAAACACAGGGCCAGTTGTAATGAAATAATCCAGTGTCTGCAACAATTGCAACATATGTGTTAGCACAAGCAGTTTGTTAAGAGATATGTGCAAAATGCTAGTGTGTGTTGTATTTTAGTCTTGTTTTGTAGTCAACTGGATCAAAATGGTCTCAAGCTTAGAGGTAAAAGTGATTAAAAGCTATTTGCATTTTATAAATTTATTATGGCAATGAAGAGCATCTTAGGTATTTGCAGCTACTTCATGTATGCTTGAATGCCAATTATTTTATGTTGCTAATATATTACGTAAACTTTTTAACAGGTCGCGGTGGTAGCCGGATACGAGACATGGAATCAGAGTCTGGCTGCAGAATAAAGGTATGTTGAATATTTTTGAAGAGTTTCGAGTTTCTATTATAATGCATATTGATACATTAGAAGAAAATTACTGGTAACGGCAGGTAATAAAGATTCAAATGCTCCATGTTAGTCCTTTGTTTAATTTTTGATGTCTTTTTAAATAGAAGTAAAGGTATCCACAAATTATTTATCTTAACACACCACACCCTAAGATTCTGGACGGGAAGTGTATTCCTGAATCATATGCAAGGGTAGGTTTACAAGGATTTTGATTTTAAAAAATTTAAACTTAAAAATAAAATTCCAAAATTAGAATAGGTCATAGTGATTGTAGTTTATCAGAAAAATATAACTTTATAAGCAAGGGTTCTTGGAAATATTCTAGCTTTACTTCAGTCTGGGTGTTCAAAAAGTTGTTCACCCTGTCTCGAAGTCGGGCTCTCTATCTACATCCGATTATTTGAATTGCCTCCCAACACTTGCTTTGTTTTCATCAATATCTAATTCGACTTATTCATCATTTGCTTGCTTGGTCTAGTTCATATCCATCATTTTCTTGTTCTAGCTCAATTGTATCGCTTTTCAACTGCAGGTAGTTGGCGGGTGCTCTCGTGTGGTCTGCTCCTTCTTTCCTGTCAAACTTCTATCGTCCTGATCTCCCCTTCTTTTTTATGTTTGTTACTCCCTTGTAACACCTCTAATCTTCTGGCGCTCATATGACCTTATGCAGTTGCGAGCGCCGTAAAACCTTTACCAAAACTAAAACTAGCTTTTCAACTCCACTTAGATTGGCTTTAATACAAGAACTGCTTGCCCGAAAAATTTCATTTATGTATGAAATTGAAGAAGAAACATTTTGCAATAACTATCTAAAACAATATCTTGACTTCCATTCCAAAGACACCTGATCTGAGCGTGCGATTGCGGGCATGTTTGGGTGGCGCATGTAGAGAAATTTACGGACGATCATGGGCCAGTTTCTGTGTTATGTATATATGCGTAATTTTTTTGCACGCAGTGTCAAAATAGCATTAAGTTTTTATGAGTGCCACAGTCTTTCAAATGAGTCTGATGTTCTCATTGGTCATTTTCTAGCTAGTCTTTGGTAAGTTTCGTGTCAAATGTCCTTGGGATAAGGGACAAATGTAATGTGGATCAAATTGTGAGTACAAGTGAAAGATTATTTATCGTCCTTGTTTGTATTTCTTTAGCTAATTGGGGTGTATGTACCTCCATGCAGGTTTATTTAGAATCGGTTTTTCTCCTCCCTTCCCTTTCCCTTCTGGGAATTGTCTTTAACTAGGTGTCCAGAGATGGAGACTCCCAGGGTCGTAGTTCAGTGGAATTGTCTGGTAACAGAAACCAAATTTCTGATGCCAAGAAGATGATTCAAGAAGCTGGTGTAGACATCATGAATGGAGATGGCCGTGGTTGGTGAAGTATTCTGCCGGTTTTCTTCGCGAGGACTTACGCAATTGAAAAAATAATTGTCTCCATGTCGTTTGTTGTGTTTTGGAACTAGTTTTTTTTTTTTTACTGATTGAAACTTGTGGATGAATAAGTTAAGATGCGTGAGTCGTCATTTTTTGAACAAGCCAGCTGTTTATTTTGTCCCTTAACCAGCTTTTTGAAAAGGGAAAAGTCGTAAATCAAGTACATACTTGAAAGAGCTCACATACCAGTAACCCAGTGTCATGAGAATCATTGCTGTATATTGATTCACTGTATTTGATGTTTGCTGCAAAATTCAGCGCCCCAATATGAATTACAAATCACTGAATGTTGCATTTTGCAGAACTGAGAGGAGTGGAGAAAAGGACTCCAAGTATTAAAAATTCGCCCGTTTTGAAATCTTATGTGTATTTTTTTTATGCATTTATTTTCCCCCTCATTTTTAGAGATGCTCTTGTAATACTCACCAAATTGGTGGGTATCAAAGTCAATTCCAAAAGTATTGGTTGCTCTTGTGTTAGAACTGGGAATGCCATTCACACAAGACTTCATGCCTTTTCATTCATGTTTTTATTGACTTCTGAGTTTTTTAATCAAACATTGACATTCTTTTTTTTTTAATCATGTCTTTTTCATGCCAAGCATGTTTCAATAAAAGGTGACCATAGGTTGAATGTACCTCTTACTCAGTTTTTATTTGTTACTTTAGCCATTCCCTATTTAAGAAGGGATGTACTATGTATGTTTCCATGTTGAAAAAGCCTCTCAAGCTATAAACCAGGCGATGTAGCGAGGCTTTGTTGTTGTTCCGTAATGACATCTACACTATCATTCAATTTTGGTATCCATCATATTTTTCTACCACGAGCGTTTGGGGGCATGAATAGCTTGAGAACTGTACAGCCATGTAATGTACCAAAGAAAGCTGAAACAATACCCTGGGTTGCAGCTTGGCCGCTTCTGAACCTGTTTCGCAATACTAATATGGGCATTTTATTTTTTTTCTCAAAGGTTACGGTCAGGATAATTGTCAGTCCATTAATGGATCCAGGAATTTTTCTAGCAATTCAGCAGGTAAATTTTCATGTTGTGTTTGTAGTTTTGTTTTTATTTACATATCAAGTGCTGAAGCCATAATCTGCAGTTATCTGAGTGGATCTATTCACATACGCCCAATTATTGTATATTTTGGATACCATAAGTGAAAGATACGATTTGTGTCAATTATAATTATATCTTTCCATTCAACTATTAGCGGTGTTAGTCATATGAGGGTTGGCAACAAGTTTAAGTATTGTGATAGCTTGAGTTTTTCAAGTTCTATGTGATGATAAGCTGTGGCATGTTGCAAACAGGCCCCTTGCTCTCTTGTGTATTTATGTGGTCTTTAAAAGAAAAAAGTTTGGTAGGGCTGAACAAATTTTTTCTCTGCCGATGATTATTCAACACCTTTTGTGAACTTTATGTTCATCAGAAAAAAACCCAGGTTTTTAATTCACATACAGGGGTAAATTGGTTTTGACCAAGCTTTTCATTACGGGGCATGTTCCCATCAGGTCCATACCAGTACATTTAGAAGGGTTCTCTTGTTCTTTATGTAATTGCTTGTAAAAGTAGAAATTAGCTCAGTTTTTTATGGATTGGTAGGTAATAACACATGACCCCAGTGTCAAGGTCCTACTCTGATCTAAGACAAGCTGCTCGATATGAGAACTGGATGGTTCTGTCCTTTTCGGAGGCACAGTGGACTCACCTGAGTTGTGATTGCCCGGTTCGCTCTGAAAAGTTGCAAAAGCGTACCTTACCCTCAAGAAAATAAACCCTTGACCGGAATTTTTAGAAGATGTGGTTTGACTATTCTACTGGGGAGGGGGGGGGGGGTGTCCAAAAGAGAAGAGCTGATGGTCATATCTACATATAATATTGTAAATTGCATTGTTCATAATGCCCGTCTGGAGAAGGCGAGGTGCTTTAAGAATGAAAGAATTGGACACGTTATAGTCTACTGAAATATGTGCAATTTGTGAGCGAGCCCAGTCTAAAATTCTTGTCACTCACTCAAAGCATATATACCAGACATGGGAATATTAAATTTCTGGTGCTCAAACGTGTTGGGTACAAATCATGCAGTCAGCAACATCTATTTCTCCTATTACATTAATTTTTTCAGCTTTTTCAAGTGAAGGATGCAAAAAAATCAGATACATTGCTAGCTGTTGGCTGTCTGCCACTCTTGCTTTCTTATTGCTGGATGTGGGAAAACTGCCACAGGATTGACTGGTTTGCTGAGAAATTTTGTAATCTCCAGTTCTTCTGAACTTGTAACTCTTCTTTTACTGGAGAGGTGCCTGGATTACTTTCTCTTCTTGCACGAGCAGTTGCTTTTGACTGGCTTGTTAAAAGATTCACATTCACAGTTCTTTCACTGAAGGGTCAGTGATCCTGCAGGTGCGAAGAAAATGGATCCCATAAAGTGTATAGTAAGTGACCAGGGGGATGTTTCTTCAAAAGATAAGTACCAGAATGAAGTGCTGTGAGCACCGATTGCAACAGGAAGTTGTAACTCAAAGGGGCCACTGTACTCGACTTGCACACCCAGTTATCTTCTATGGAAGACGGCATTGTCTTAGATCAAAGAGTTGTACGGACCCCTGGATTGTCATATGTAGCTGTTTGTGATATAATGTTCAGTAGCCCTGCAGCATGCCTTGAGAAGTGGAGCATTTCTGAATTGAGTTACTGAATTCTGTATGGAATATAATGATAATGATACTAAGTCTAGGCAAACTCAAACCAGTTCCCATCACCAGTAGTACAGTATTAGTGTACGAGAACTAAAAGCTTGATTAAAAAAAAGGTAGCGGTAGGCTACTGACCCTGCAGTTCTCGGTGCACACAGCTTTTACCTTCCAGCACAGCTCAGCGTTACTTACTCATTTTACTGGGCCATGGCCAGTCGGGAATCTCGGTCTTTCAGTACTTACCATTTTCCCTTTTTCAAAAAATTCTCAAGTGTAAATTTTGAGCAACTGGTCTTATTTTTGGCTCAACTCACATTATAATACATTTTCCCTCTTTATAATAGTTTAAGCCTTACCGAGCTAATATTAAGACTTTTCCCCCCACCAATTTAACCCTATCCATACGGCTGGGGTCATTTTGATCCACGGGGGTTGTATTCTTCACGTTTTAGAATACTTATAGTGCGAGGATCTCTTTGAAACTTTTCAGTATTTCTCAAAAACTTATTTTGACAGATTGCTATGCAAAGCGTACGGATCCGGTTCACGAATAAATTTCCTCTTTGGAAAGTGAGGGCACAGAGTTCCTGTCGTATGAATACGATACTGAAACACGACGTACAGATAGTTAAAAAATACCTCACTGTTTCCAATTTTGAAAAATGTTTCTGCTCATTGAATGAATGTGACGGAAAATGGCACCAAAAATAAAATTATTATTATTTATTATAACACAAAAATGTTGACTAGATCTAGAACTCTCCTTTAAAATCATTATGAGCAAAAAACAAACTTTAATTAAACATCTCTAGATCTAGAATTTTTCATTGATGTTAATGTTAAGATGTAATTGTAATAATAGTAATTAGGACCTCCCGGCCTCACATAGGTCACCAAAGTGAAAGTAAGTTTTTTTTCTACTACATTTCGGAAATTTCATTTTCGGTTGGGAAAATGATTAAAATAAAGCTTTGTACAAAGTACAAGACTTAGAATTATCCCGGAAGTTGTCCAGTCCCGTCCCAATAATATTTTACAAGACTAGCCTAATTAGATTTAAATCTAAAAAGTCCTGATGTCAGCATCGATGAATAACCACTCATTATTCAGAAAGGTTTAATAGTGGTATACCATACCCTTCCTCCCCCTCCAGGGCAGGCAATTGATTCATTGTATGCCCTACTACAGCAAACGGGGATCATCTTCTAGAATCTAACAACGAAGAGGAAGCTGTTGAAGAGCCTCCGTCTCGACCGAGGAAGATGATAGACTGGAATAAAGTGAGGCAGTCAAACGAGGAGTACCAAAGGGAGAAGTTTGAAGGTAAGTTAGTGTGAGCCTCTTGGAAAAACTCCCCAACCCTTCTGATGCAAGAAGCATGAACAGAAGTCATGTAAGTTCAGGTTCAATAGATTTGAAGGTACATATGTACATAAATAAATGTAATTCTTGGAAAATAATTAATAGTTGAAACTTTTAATTTTATATATATATTTGATTTCAATATGAAATATATTCCCCATTTGTGGTTACGTATCAAGTTATAATTGTAATGTTAATGCAGTCTATGGTAGGGCAATTAATTCTGAATTTTTCCCTTTAAATCTGTCATTATCCTTCCAAAACTTTGTCGTTTCACCCAATAGACCAAAAATATAGAATATTATATAATGTATACACTTCAACTTCAAGGATCGTGAACTAGTTTTCCTTCCTGATTGTGCGAGTGTTTGTACTTTTGTACTAACACCAAAAGCAAATGGGATTGGATATAACATGTTTTTAGTTTATCTTTGAGTTTGAGGTTGGACTTCTTGGACATGATGGCGACTTCTTCTTGGGCAATGAGTCCTGGACTAGTGATTGAGTGAGGATGATAGGGTAGTAAGAAGCGATTACATTACCTTTTTTTAAAAAACCAATAACAAAAATGGGGGGGGGGGGGGAGCAGTAGTCTCCTTGCAATAATTAAAGTGACAAAGTAAAGCAGGACAATCGTGATATCTTGTTGTTTACAGTGTGAAACCCCGTTAGGCCCGACCTTCAATTTTGTTGAATCAGAGGACCCTTTATAAAATATGATAAGAATAAGAGACATAACTGACATGAGCACCCTCCTTTTGGGGTATATACTGGCTGACATAAACAAACATCTCTTCCCTCTGAATTTGAAAGGCGTATTACTTAAACTTAAAGCTTAAAGTTAAAGGTTACAGCTTTGTTCATGTCTGTAATCTAGAGTTTGCTTTGTCTTAGCGATGTTGCCGCTGATGAGAATATACTATAGATTCTAGTTCTAGTTCTAGACCTATGAATGCTGTATGTAGCGACAGAAATTGAACGAGTCTCTACAGATCATAGATGTATTGTAAATGCGACGAATCGCTAAGATCAAGAATTATGTAAGCACTATCAACTTGTATAGAAATTCACAGGGGCCCTTAGTTCTCTTAGGTCTGTTTTTCAGAGTATCATAGTTTATAATTTATACATTGGTATACTTTCTGATGATAAACACAGAAACAAAAATTAAACTGAATGAGAAAGATACAGTAATGGAATTTAATCGAAGCCTAGCATACTGAATTTTGAATGCGGTAAAGTAAAGTGAGTTACCCCTGCATCAGTCAAGATCCACCATATATTGCTATCACATTTATATCTATACTCTATAATATAAATAATAATATAGTATAGGTAGCATTTATAATGCAAATTCCTGTTCAACAGCAAGCTCTATCATACTCTTATAGTTTTATAGCTTTACACAATCAACAATATTATTACCCCGGCTGACATGATAGCATTGCTTTACACACACAACAAATATTAAATATTACCTCAGCCAACCTGATAGTGATAACGTTCTGAAACAGTCTCAACAAGAGGGTCTAGTCACTGCTTGTGTTGCCATTTTTTTGGGTCCAAAAGTTGCCCCCAAAAATGGCAAAAGTTGCCATTAATTTTCTGGCTTTCTGTGTGGGCGTATAGCAATATGTTGATAGAGGTGACCAATTCTAAAACACCAGAATTTCTTGTGCTCTGTTAAAAGCATTTAGAATATCATTAGCCACACAGAGTGTAAAAAACGTGAATATAAAGGTTTCACGACAGAATGAAATCAAAATTAGAGCAGCATTTAAACAACCACAAAAAATAACAAATAAATGAGGGTGTGTGTCCACCTATCCGCAGATTGGCCGTTTAAACCCTATACTATACGTATGCAATTCAAGAAAAAATAGGGCCTACAAGATATTACATGATTACATGTAAATTATGGAATCACCTACAAGGGGCCTGTCAGTATTTGGTTTAGGTGGAGACACTCTAACATAAACAAATAATAACATATTTATTTTTAAAAAGGTAGGAACAACATCAAATAAATGACATTACGCAATATAAACACAAAAAATTGAGAAACGGCACATCAGAACAAGAAAAAAACCCATCAACAAATTCAAACAAAAGAGTGAAAAATAAAGGGAGTGCTTATTTAGGCCACATATGGCCTAAATAAGGTAAGGGAGGGGGGTTTAGTTTATTTAGGCCACAGTGGACTGTGGCCTAAATAAGGTAAGGGAGGGGGGTTTAGCTTATTTAGGCCACACATTCTCAAACTACCCTTTTCAGGCAACTGAGTTCATTCCACTTTCATAATGGTGCACCTTTCTCATTTAGTATGGTTTTGCCTTAGTGTACAACTTATAAATCATAACCATAATGAATATTGTAAAGAACAAAGCACAATACGCAAAATTTTGCTCAATTCCAATGGTTTGAATGAGGGCCGGATTTTTCCTTCATGGAGGGGCAAAAGCTAGGCTACCATTTTGGCACATTTTGGTCAAGTGAAAAGGTCAAATCCGCCGAATGGACTTCCGGGTTAAATTTGGGGTATAAAAAGTGTGTATACTACGTGGCTGAGTCAAAGTTACACTATCTTTGCCTGAGTAACACTCTCTCGTACTGTCTCGTAGTAGTACATGTAGGCTAGTAGGCCTAGTAGTAGTAGTAGCAAAGATCGTGTAGAGAATGTTTGGTAGTAGATTCTATCTAGTAGGCAGTTTAGTGAACGTGCTCGCGGCAGGGCGAATCGGCCTCGATAAGCCCCGTAGACTTTTGTGATCGGCCACGAAGCCTTGTGTTTTGATGGGTCTAGATCTAGATCTAAACAACTCAGTGCTATTCGCACTGCCACATCCGACAGGCCTAGATCTACATCTTTTTAAAAGGAAAAGAGAGATCATCAAAATGGTTGAATTCGCGTGAAAATCGATTAGGTAGAACTAGAACTATTAAAACTTGCTTCTGAAAACAAGGCAATTTTTATACGAAGGCCATTTTTATAACTCGATGAAATAAAAACTACTGACTGTGTACTGTGTTATTCTGTATAAAAATAAATTATGAAACTTCAGGACGTAGATCTATTATTATTTACCAGCATCTTTTGACGCCTGAGCTGTAGAGGTTGAAGTTTTCACAACACTAATAGATCTAGTAATAGGGTTAGGTAATACGGCTTTCCGTAAAAAATGCATAGATCTACAAAAGCCGACCACCGAATCGACCGGGTGCCTCGGTCTCCTCTGCACTCTGATTCAATATTTAAAAAGAAATGCTAATCAATGAAAATTGCAAATTGATAATAATAGTATAGTCCTGTAGAGGAAAGGTGGACTCCGGGGTCTGCATAGCGAAATACTAGGTTTTAGGATGTGGACCCCGGAGTCACCGTAGTGAAATAAGGTTTGGTTTAAGTAAGGATTGGTACTAGGTTTTAGGACAGGTGGACCCTGGGGTCACCGCAGTGAAATAAGTAGGTTTCTTTAAAGATTGGTGGAACCCGGAGTCACCATAGCCATAGAGGATTAAGAAGGTTTAATTAAGGATTGGTGGACCCCCGGGACACCTTGATTAAACCTACTTATTTTACTACGGTGACCGCAGGATCCACCTATTCTATAACCTAACTAGTGTTTCGTTAGGTAGACCCTGGGGTCCACCTTAAACCTACCTATTTCACTACGTTGACTCCAGGGTCCACCAATCCTTAAAATTAAACCTAGATCTATCTACATGTACTTATTTCACTACATTGACCCCAGGGTCCACCAATCCTAGATCTACTGATTTCACTACATTGACCCCGTGTTCCTCCAATCCTTAATTAAACCTATATATCCATATCTACTTATAATTTCACTACTTTGACCACGGGCTCCGCCAGTCCTATTATAAAATAAACTTAGATCTACTTATTTCATTATGTTGACCCCGGGGTCCACCGATCCTTAGTTAAACCTAGATCTACTTATTTCGCTACGCTGACTCCGGGGTTCACATCCTAAAACCTAACATTTTGTTAGGTAGACCCTGGGGTCCACCTATCCTTTTGGCTAGATAGACCCCGTAGTCCGCCTATCCACTTTCTTGATAATAACTGAAAACAAAACATGCCAGTTGTCATTTATAGTGAAGAAAAATGAGGGGAAAAAAATATAATTAGGTAGACTTTAATTTGTCCAAAAAATTGCAAGTGCAAAATAATTTTGTTATTTTCTGGTCACCTTTCCAAGGACCTTAAATTGATTCTACATCACATGTCATGTACGATACGGCTGTGAAGGAAAATGGATGTGAAGAGTTTTAAAGAAATAATAATGTAACTTCTAAAGAAAACAATGCTTTACATTGGTTTGGTTATTTTGACTACATATGTGGCCTAAATAAGGTAAGGGAGGGGGGTTTAGCTTATTCAGGCCACATGTGTGGCCTAAATACGGTAAGGGAGGGGGGTTTAGCTTATTTAGGCCACCTATGGCCCAAATAAGGTAAGGGAGGGGGGTTTAGCTTATTTAGGCCATATGTGGCCTAAATAAGGTCACCCAAAAATAAAAGAGAGAGAGAGCAATGTAATAGTAATTAATAGTATGTGAAAATAACAAATTAACGTGGTGTCAACAAGTGAGAAAGAGACGAAGTGAAGCGGGCGTAAAAATAAACTTTCTTTCTGAAAGTAAAGAGGTTCACGTTCTTTACTTTAAAAAAAATCTTTTTCAATATTTATTCCCCGTTTGTTTTCGTTTTTTCAATTTTGTTTTCGCTGGTGGTGTGTGGATTTTTTGTCTTTTTTTGGAAGAGTCAAGGGGGACCGGAGATTAAAATTGTGGTCTTTTCATTCAAAGCCGGGGTTGGTTATTTATCCGAGAGAGAGAGAGAAAAGAATGAAAGACTGACAGAAAGGGAGAGGGAGAGAAAGTGTGTGTGAGTCAGAGAGAGAAAAAGTTGGGGGGGGGCTTGAGAGAAAGAGAGAT